AGGACTCAGAAAAGAATTATGGAAAGTTTGGTGACTATAGCTATAACAGGGACTGAGTGCATCGCGAACAAACAAACACACAAACACACAAACAGACATTCTTCTTTATATATATAGATTAATCAATTTGAAAAATCATTTACACATACTGAATGAATAAATTATTTATTTATCTTAATAACAGCAATAACAAAAAAAAAATAATAATAATAAATACAAAAATGAGCATGTGCACTGGTCTTTGTAGAACATGCAAACAATTATTAGCAATGGCTTTCATTGCTGAAGAGTCCTTTAAATTTTGACCACCAATTTAATAAATGTTCTTCGAATTTTGGTGCAGTACATGGTATAAATATCATTACATAGCCAGCTAATATCGAAGTACTTTCTAATATCATAATTATTAAAACATTATTTATAAAATTTGCAACAAAGATTCTAATTGATGTACTACACATTATTATAACTGGAGCTACAGGAGGACCATAAAGAGCAAATGGCAACACTGTGTTGAATAGCATTGATAATATTGTGGCCACTTTTCCTAATGTCCATATCAACTGGTTCGAAATTTTTGATCTCGTCCCGACTCAATAAAAATTACATCATTCGAAAGAGCATGAAAGACTGAGTATAGTGTACTAATTTTCTCGGAGACGTACTCCCAAGTCCCCAGCAAAATTTTTTAAAATAAGATTCTCCAGCAGAAACAGCATGAATCTTTCGTTCTCTCTATCTCTCTCTGAATTATCTTTTTTTTTCGTTCTCTTGTTTTCAACGTATGGCTTCGTACGAAATGAACATATATAAGCTCATACATATATTTTGTTTACAGCTAACAGGAAAGAAAAAAAAAGGAATCTTGTCATATTGCTCGCGATGATGATGATATCTTAATTTCAATTAAAAAATAATAATTTAAACGATCCATGTGAGAAAAAAAAAATTTATATGTGATCATCTTTCGTTTTTTTTTTGAATGAAATATTCATTCAGAAAGGAAATATCTGGAGTTTTATTTATTGTGCAACAATATTAATTGAGTTTCGAGTCGTTTAATTTTCGTGATTAACTCAAAAAAAATCCATTTGTTTCTT